CGTAACATGAATGCAAAAGAAAGATATGAAATTTGATATTTTGAGATCAGAGTTTGGTGAAAGTTATCGGTCACGGTGAAATCAGAAACACGGACCAAAGAAATACTCATCCTTTCTCAGGAACCAAACAGATTTTTTTTCTTATTTTTCTCGGAAAATTGAAACGAAATGAGAAAGATCATCAGAGACTTAAATGCATACGAAATCATGGAACGAATCCATCATGTTGTTGGTCTCACAGTCTCATCAATTGATCAGTAAATCGTACAAAAACAAGAAACAATAACCCCAATTATATCAAACAAAAGAAAACCACACAAATTCACAAAACCTTAACGCCAGAGAAGGAGAAAGAAAGATGAGAAAATCGGAACCCTAACCGTCCCCGAATTGGCTGGCCGTATTTAAAAAGGGAATGCACCTTTAAACCCTAGATCTGTAGATCTTTTCTGCCCAATCTTAAACCCTAGATTAGACGGTAGCGTTTTATTGATGAGACCTGTTGCTGTCACCAATTGGCCATGGGCTGGATATTATTTTGGATCAGATGGGCCGGATTTTTTGATTCAGGCTTCTAGCTCATATATCCTTTTCTCGTCTCACCCATAAATTATATCCTCCCTTTCTTGTTTAGCCCACATAATTCCTTTTTATTATTATTTTTTTAATGTTATTGCTTTGAGATTTTGGCAATGAAATTAAGAACGATGGTTTTTTCAACAACTAGGTAAGAAAAATTGAATCACTAGTTAGTAAATAAACGTCGTTAAAATTAGTATTTTTAGATGCACTAATTTGAGGTGTACAAAAATTGATCTTGTTCGGGCAACTGCATTAACTTATAATGTTGAGATCACTATCTACTTCAACATAAAAAATACTCAAGGATGTTTTACGAAAAAAACACTTTGCGCTCAACTTAATAATATTTTATAATTAAGAGAGCGAAACTTTCAAAAAAAAAAGTAATTATAGAGAGAAACATAGTAAAATTATTAAGTTGCACGGAGGTGGATGGAGATATTTATAACATTCATTAATAGCAAAATGTCTCTCGTATGGTTGCTCGATTAACTTAGGTGTTATCAATCATGTGAATGTATTTTGGTGAATTTGCTTACACTATTAAGTTACTTTTGGGTTACTTTTGATTTATTGGGTTCATATCCACAATTGAATCTACTAATTGGGTTCATTGTCAATGTTGGGCCTATTTTTCCACGGATCTAAATTGTAAATATAAAAAATTAAATAGAAAAATTAGTTCTTTAGAATTATTTTTTTTAGGTAAAGTGGAGACATTTTTATTTTATTCTCATTATGACTGCGATTTTACATCGATGGTAGCATACTCTTTAGCAGCACAACTCACCAAGAGCAACTATAATTAATGAGCATAAAAATGCTCTATATCGAATCATGCTCATGAACACCCCAAGATGAAGGACAGAATGTAATAACATATTCTTTAGCAGCACAGTTTACCAATGGAGGAGGCGTGTCATAGGCATAACTGTAATAAGAAGGACAAGCATCCTTGAACATCTTTGAGTAAACATAAGGCTTGCATTTCTCCGGCGTCCCATACTCATTCCGGCAACAAAACGAATCAAGATCAAACGCCAGGCACGCACTTTTACAAGCCACAACTTCCCCACCGGAGTTCAGAACTTTAAGCTCTTGTGGACACACAGATTTTAGATCTTTTAAGCACCCTCCAATGCTACATTTGGATGATAATGGTTTTGTTGTCATAAAAACGGGAAGATTGTAGCCGTCCACAAGACTAATATCATAGAAATTCGGTTGGCCCTTGTCCCCATTGAGTACAATTTGCACTAAAGTGGCCGGAGGTTTGCCTATTAGTCCATTGCATTGAAGTCTTCCACCACAGTCCCCTGTTTCACAAGCCTGTTGCCAATTGGAGTTGAAGTTGCATCCTGTCCGGGCCCAAATCCGGCCGTTCCACGTCCATGGAGCCTCAATACGTTGAGTTTGCCCCGATGGAAGGTAGAAACCGCCATCGGCTATCACTGGCTGGCCGGTGTTGGGGGCGGTTGCTGGCCAGATTGGGAAGGGACATTTGTTGTGGACATAGAAATTAACAGTATGTGCAGCTGCAGCCCCTGCAATGAATATTTGCTTTTATTAGATAGGATTTCAACATTGCTTCATGTTTTCTAATGCTATAAATATCAGAATAGAAGGAAATTACCAGAAAATAAGAACAGAACAAGAACAGCAACCATCTTCAGTGGCTTCATTTTGGGATATGAATGCAGAGATTTGCTGTGAAATTTAAGAGTTTTTGGAATTATTTATTTATATTAAGTTCGGAAATACTGTTTTCTTCTTTGATTGCACTTCAAGGTTTGATGTGTCCAGTCTTTACAGACAAGGTAAGTGTATCTTGGAAGTAAATCTAAACAGCATTAAGTGACAATTAGACATGAAATATGAAAGATAAAAAGAGTTATCATTAACTTATACACAAAATTTATATATAATTTGTACATAAAATTCTAACTGCTTATATTTATTTATTAACTTGGATTAGTTTAACTTGTATCTTTAAAACACATGTTAATGTGTAATAAATGTAACTTTTTATAATTAATTTACACAAAAAATAATAATAATAATAATAAAAGTTTACATTTGTTTTAGTGTTATTGTCACGTAGATAATTTTAATTAGTCAATTAATTAAATTTAAATTAATTTTTATCGTTTTTCATATATATTAATTACAAAAAGATGCATTTATTGTAATCTTATCTTGTATCCTTAAGATACAGAATAAAATATCCTTATTAACTTATATTTAATAATGTTAAATTTTGTATAGTTAACAAATTAGTTAGATTATTAAATATATTTAAAAATTGATATACGTAATTTATATAAATAAAATTATTAATTTAACAGTTCATTTTTAAAAATAAAAATTAAAAATATAAGGTTTTTAGAGATTTAATGGAAACACTTTTGTCTCTATTTATTATTTTTTTGTAATTAAGAAGCTATTGAAAATGAGGAAGAACTTGTATTTTAGTTGTACCATTTCATTTCAAAGTTCTTATGTCTTTGTTCTGGATTTTTTTTTCAAAGACCACTCACCTAACCTAAGTCCACCAACCTGCCAAAGCCTTATGATTGAGCCAACTGCATCACAACATTGGTATCTACCTGTAAACTATTCCCTTGTAACGGTATTGGCTGGTGCTGTTTTTAATATCTTTGTTTACAAAATCTGAATGGCTTTTGTCTTCCTCGTGAATTGGGTTTCTCTCTCTCTCTCTCTCTCTCTCTCTTTATCTCTCTGTTGTGTTTTGTCTCCAAGCTGTAACATTTTCTGGGACTCTGAACTCTGTCTCTGTGTGTGTGAGAGAGAGAGACCCAAACCCCAACTCTGTCTTTGGGTCTATCACCGGAACCTTGCCCAATTACCCTTTCAAATTCGAATGCCGTTTTAACCCTCTCCCTTATAACTCCTTCATTCTAAGCCCGCCTCTGGCGTCTCTCCCTCTTTGACCACCTCGGTCACTCCCCACATTGCCTTGACCACATCCACAACCTCCATTTCTGACCAAGAAACCTCCTTTCAAGCGTTTCATCTAACACTTCTGTTGCAATTTTCTCAAAAATGGATATACAACCCAAAAAGACTGAAAATTTTGAGGGTGATTCTGTCACTAGCTCCATTAAAGATCTGATCTTGAATGATGGTGTTACTGTCAGCTTTTCTAGTAGTGTGATTTCTGGGTCTGATTCTAGAGTTAGCAGTAGCAGTACTAGCATTGGCACCAGCAGTTTTCAGGATCTTAGGCTGAATAACAGCGTCAACTTAAGCATGTGTACCACTAGTACTAAGATTTCTGGGTCTGAAAACAGCAATAGTTTTAGTAGCAATGTTAGTAATGCTACTATTGAAGCAAACAAGACGGTGGACTCTAGCGTTGACTGTGAAGAGAGTGAAAATAGTAGCTTTGATGCAAATGAGTGTAGTTTTAGAAGCTACTGCCCTTCAAAGCCGCATAGAGGCAATGATGTTAGATGGGATGCCATACAGAGCGTTAAAGGTAAAGATCGGGACTTGGGGTTGGGTCATTTTAGGCTTTTGAAAAAGTTAGGCTGTGGAGATATAGGGAGTGTTTATTTGGCTGAGTTGAGAGGGATGGGGTGTTTGTTTGCTATAAAGGTGATGGATAAAGGGATGTTAGCTGGGAGAAAGAAGTTGATGAGGGCACAGACTGAGAGAGAGATATTAGGTTTGCTAGATCATCCATTTTTACCTACCCTCTATTCGCATTTTGAGACAGAGAAGTTTTCTTGCTTGTTGATGGAATTTTGTAGTGGTGGGGATCTTCATATCCTGAGGCAGAGACAGCCTAGCAAGCATTTCTCTGAACCAGCTGCCAGGTTAGCTCCTAACTTTTAAGATGTATCTTGTATGTTGTTAGGCCCTGTTTTGTCATCAGTTTAGTTGTTAAAGAAAGCTGTTGCAATGAAGATACCAAGTAGGATAACAGGGTCAGAAACTTGAACATTTCCAGAGAATTAGCATTCAATGGTTTTTAATTGTATTCAGTGGTTGCGGCTAAAGTGTTAGGGAGGATTTGTTGGCCCAAGATGGGTGGGGGTGGTGAATTGAGGACAATAGGATTGGGGGGTACGAGATAATTTGATTTCAAAGTTAAATATTCTACTACTGTACTTGATTGTAATGTGTGGAAATGGTCTGTGGGTTCAAAATGAATCTTGCTTCTGCTGAGGTCACTACAATTTTTGCTATAGAACGTCTGCACGTAGATACAGTTCGGCAATGTTGTTGCTTTTGCAATGAAGATAAGTTGTAACAAAGATTCCTATTCAAGTACTTTTTGAATCATGCTCCATGATTTCATGTTTGGGAATCTTTAAGAAAGTCGTTAATTGTGTTTGAAAAAAAGGGATTTTTAGAATTTTAGTTGACAAAATACTTGCGTAACACCATCCACCATCATGCTTAATTACTTAATTTCATAATTGCTTTCAGTTTTTTTCAATTATCACTGTGGAAATTGACTTAATCAAGGCGGTTGTTTAGTTTTCTGATAAATTTTTTTGGCCCTTGCAGGTTCTATGCCTCAGAAGTGCTTCTGGCCCTTGAGTATCTGCATATGATGGGCGTGGTGTACAGGGATTTGAAGCCTGAAAATGTATTGGTAAGGGAGGACGGCCATATAATGCTATCCGACTTTGATTTGTCATTAAGATGTTTTGTCAACCCTATGCTTGTGCAGTCTGGCACAGAGCCATCTTGTATAATCTCTGCATACTGCATTCAACCCGCATGCATTGATCCAGCCTGCAAAGTACCAGTATGCGTAGAACCTTCTTGTTTGCAACCATCTTGCTTTAAGCCTCGTTTCTTCAGCTCCAAAACATCCAAAGTGAAAAGTGAAAGAACAAGTTTGGCAAATTCAGATTCACTTCCTGTACTTGTTGCAGAGCCAACTAATGCCCGCTCCATGTCATTTGTTGGGACACATGAATATTTAGCTCCTGAGATAATAAGAGGAGATGGTCATGGGAGTGCAGTTGATTGGTGGACATTTGGCATTTTTCTATATGAACTACTGCTAGGGAGAACACCATTTAAAGGCAATGGCAACCGAGAAACATTGTTCAATGTGGTTGGTCAGTCCCTAAAATTTCCAGAGGGATCTCCTCTCAGTTTTGCTGCTAAGGATTTAATCCGTGGTCTTCTTTTAAAGGACCCACAGAAGAGATTAGGCTTCAAAAGAGGTGCCACAGAGATCAAGCAGCATCCTTTCTTTGAAAGTGTTAACTGGGCACTCATCCGCAGCACGCACCCTCCTGAAATCCCTAAACCTGTAGATCTTTCATTCTTAAAGCACACGCTAAAGTCATCCTTGCCTTCAAATGATAAGGGAGCCACAGACTCAGAAAAGTCATCAAGTCCTTACTTAGATTTTGAATTTTTCTAACAATTCTTTGCCAGGAAGTAGAACTCAATAGCGGCAATCTTAAGATGCTTGTCTTACATTGTTCATGCGAATTTATGAGCTCAATGAAAATCTTCTAATCTTTACAATGTCATAATTTGCCTCTTTTTTACATAAAAAGTTGGGCACTGTGTTGCTTATCTGTTGCATCTTATACTTCTGCTATGCTAACAATTGGCATATAATGGGGACCCTGATCCCACATGCAAACCAATTTTCTTTGCATTACCAAAGGAAAAGGAAGACAGAAATTGAAGCAACTTTTGCTGTAAGTTCTCTTTCATTGCCCTCCTACTGTGTGTCTTCGATATATGGAATTAATGGAAGAAACACCAAAGGTGACCCTCCAATGGTGGGCCTTAATTGCCCTTTTCTCCTTTTTTCAGAACAACTCGTTTAAAATCTGGAATTTCCCAGATATTCTCTACCTGCAAATGAACTTTTGTTAAAGAACCCCGAACTAGACAAGTCATAGTAAAGCTTTGATGGCGTCAAGCTGTGGATGCATGCAGCAAAGAGGAAATCTTATGTCACTATCATGTTGAGATCTTTGTTTCTTATATTCTCTCTTAGCTTTATTTGGATCTCTGCTTGCTTCACCCCTTTCCCCAGTATTCCTTTATCATATGAGGCTCTGTCTTTTTATAAAAAGAAAAGAGGATGCTTTATTCTCTTGCATTGCGTTTGCAGTCAGCAGGCTCTTTTCTTTTTCTTGAAGGTGACATTGTTTTTGTTCATCTGTATTGCTTTTCCTTCCCTCTTGGTGACACTCGTCGGGCCCTGTGCTCTGAGCTTCCTTCACCACAATGTGATTAATGCGATGATGTATGGTTGCTTGATCGTGCTCTTGGTTGTGAAACGTTTCGTGGATTGAAGGCTCTAGCCTATTTGTGTCCCATTAAAGAAAAAAAAAAATTGAACTTGGTGGTTGGATTGGAGCCCTTGAATTCTGCATTTCTGCTCTAAATTTTTTTTATGGTAATAGAGTTTGAGCAGTAATTGTTCATTTAGAGCATCCTGTGTATGACAGTGTTATATATAATGAATGTAATGGCAATTCAAAAAGTTGCTTAGTGGTCCATGAATTACTGTTGTGTTTCAGTGGCTTATACCTACCCTACATTTTTTAACTTAATTACCATATATTGAAGTTTGGACAAGCCAACAATTCCGATGCTAAGATGCTCTAAAAAAGAAATCGAAATTTTTAAGGAAAGAACCCTGGGATGCTTCCATTGTTGGTTCTGCAACACTACCAACATGGAAAGCAATCCTTGAACTTTTTTTTTTTTTTTTAATGAAATGCATGTCATTGCAACTTAATAAGACTAGAAAGCCCAAATCAGTTTTAGGCTTGGCCAGGAAAGTCTTTAGCAATAAAAAGTCCAAACAAATATTGCATTTTGTATACATTACACTGCACAATTTAAACCATTAAATGCATTCACTATCTGACATTGGGTTGTACCTAAGTGTGTTCATATCTTATTTCATCCAATTGATCCGACCTAAATTGATCCAATCCAATCAAAAACCAATCCAAATCAATATAAAATTAAGTTGGTTTAAATTATAAAATTTTAAAACTGATATAATTAGTTTGGTTTATAATTTTACTTTTAAACCACTCAAACTGTCCGATTACAAAATAAAATTTAATTACAAGATAACTTAATTAAATAATATAATATATTTTTTGTAGTATTTTAAAATTTCTTTTTTAAATTTTACAAGATAATAACTCCATTAACTTAATTAAAAATAAAAATAAAACATTCCTATATTCCCTAAGTTAATTTTTCATTTTAATCTTGCACTTTAACCTTAGTTCTAAATTTCTAATTCACATGCAACTCTATTCCTTTAGAACTGATTTACGCATTTACTTTTAGAACCCTAAATTTTTAATTTATTCTTAAAATATATAATCTTATAATTCTCCTAACTAAATTTTAAATAAGTATCATTCTAAAAGTTTTAAAATTATATAATAAAATTAGTCTTGATATTCTACTATTCTTGGATATTTGGTTTAAAAGTTCTAAATTTTGATTATGAATGCTTCTAATCAATGTTAGTGATATTCATGTTAAATTTTATTCACTTTTAACAGGATTTAAAATATGAGATTAAATTATTAGTGCACTAAGAAAAAAAAAACTAATTTTTATCTTTAAAAATTATTTACGCTGTGCTAGAAACTTGAAGAAATCTTTTATTGTTATTGGTGCCTCTAGTGATGTAACTAAGAAAAATTTTTAAATCTTTTCAATTTTTATAAATGTAAAGAAGTGTAAGAACTCGTTTATAATTTGTATTTTTTATTATGTTTTTACTGATTTACATGCTAATGTGTTTTATGGTTATACTTTCTATTTGATATTAAAATAGTTTTACATTATCTTATATATTTAATAATGTTAAAATCGATCAATCTAACTGAACTACGTTGATTCGATTTAAGTTGGATTAGTTTGATTATTATATAATAATTGATTGGATTTATTTAAAAATTTTATTAATCGATTAAATTAAATTAATTTAAAAAATATTAAAATCTAAACCAAATTACACCGTGAACACTTCTAGTTATACTTACTCAATGACTGCAAAACAAGGAATTTATAGAAAGTTCTCATGATTTCCCTACTCTGAATGGAAAATTCCCAGAAAGTAAACATATGTGCATTGTGCCACTAGCCATTTGGTCAGATGATAGAGTTAGCTGTGCTTTTTACCATAGATTTAAAGTTCAACCCCCTAGTCTCTACAAAACTCCACCATGCAGCCCAATGGGCTGCGCGCCTCAACGAGAGGAGTGGAAGATCACCGGTTTTGGAAATCAAATCCTTAATTGCTAACATTTCATAACCTAACTACAAACCATTACTTTTGTCAAAAAAAAAAAAAAAACCCTAGTCTCTACAGTGAAAAAAAAAAGAAGACACACACAAACACGTATATGCGTTGTCATTTACAATTTGTTTGGAAAAAAATTAATAAAGAAAAGGGAAGAGAGGGGAAGAGAAGGGAAGGAAAGAAAGGACAAGTGAAGGGAAGAAAAAAGTTAATGTTAACTTTGTTTGGATATATAAAAATAGGGGAGAGGAAAGAAAAAGATTTTTATTTAATTAAATAATTTTAAATAAAATAAAATAAAATATTTAAAATTTACTAATTAAAACAATAACTGAAATAAAATATTTTTATATATTTATTTTTAAAAAATATTAAAAATATATTAAATATATAAATCAAATTCCCAATTCCTCTAATTTTGGAGGAAAAAGGTAAAAAAAAAATAGAGCGAGCTTTATCACCCTTTGTCTTTCTCCCTTTTCGTTAATAAAGAAAAACAAATAGAGTGAGGGAGACACCTACCCCTCTCTCTCCCCCACTTCCCCTCCAAATCCACTAATCCACAGGGGCTTACAGACACAGCCAAACTGTGTGTGAATCAAAAGGAAATAGAGTAAGGCATGAATCAAGGAAGGAAACAGATATGTCAAGAAAGGAAACAGATATCAGAAAACAGGAAACTACCTCAGCCACTCAATACAGGGCACAATCTAAGGAAGAACAAAGGCAACGGTCATATATATGCATAAGTTTAGGCATGTATTTAGGATCTAAATATGTATTGTAAATTATATATACACTGAACCCATTGTACACAAAGCTTAAGTTGAATACAATACAGCATTCCCTACAATTCTCTTGAAATTCTTCACAGCGCCCATGAATTCCATCTTAATACAAATAGCGAAATTAGAAAAAGAAGAAGAAGAAGAAGAAGATGAAGAAAAAATGAAGATAGGAAATATTCAAAAGTCTTCTCTTTGAACTCAATTAATTAATTACCTAAAGAGAGAGAAACAGATTTCTTAGCATCAGTAACAGCTATCAGTTTCTTTTAAATGTAACTAGCAGTTGTTAAGGTTTGCAGACAAGAGAAAAATTTTGTCTGATGGATACTCGCTGTTTTCTTGCCTTTTCTCTCACTTTCCTTCTCATTTCCCCTCATCTCTCCCGCGCTTCAATTCGGATTTCCGGCCAAAAGAAACCGTAATCTTCTCTCTCTCTCTCTCTCTCTCTCCCCCTCTTGTAATAGTGTTGCATTGAATTGAAAACGCGACCTGTATTGATTTTTGTTTTTTGTTTTTTGTTTTTTTGCATGCTTAGAACGAAGAAAGGTGTTTTTTCCGTTGTTTTTGATCCTACTCGTGTCATTCCGCTTTCATGGAGTCCAAGGTACCGTACACATTTTTTTTTTCTCTCTCTATAAAGTTCTCAAATTGCAAGTTTTCTTTTGGATTCTTCATGAAGCTACCAGGCTGAAATCCACCATTGCACTTATATATCACTATATCACTCATTGTCGAATTCTTCTTCTGATGTGGTATGGAGACGTTACATATTTACATTTCATTTGGATTCGAGAATTATATACTTTTTGCAGGGTCTTTACATACAAAGGATTTCTATCACATGAGGAGTGTGACCATCTCATTGATCTGGTTGGGAAATATACTGTTTCCTTTTACTGTGGGGGAATTTGTAGGAAATTTAAGGGACTGGGAAAATTTTACTCTCTTTTATGGTTCATTGTGGATACTAGGGTAAGGATAAGCTAGTGAGGTCAGTTGTGGGAGATAATAGCACAGAGAGCGAAATCCGCACCAGCTCTGGCATGTTTCTTGTGAAGCATCAGGTCTGTATATGAAATTGGTCTATGTTTTAAGCTTAACAGACGGGGTAGTGTAGATCAAGTGTCTTAGTGGTTTACACATTTTGACATTATTATTGCAATCTTGTGTGACATTGTTTGCTTAATATCATTATCCTTTTGGTGTATAAAATAGAAACTAACTACAAGGGACAACAAGGGACAACAAGTTTAATGATGGTTAATTCATTAATTGAATGGTATATTCGGCCGCTGAAGAAACTATCATAAAGGTTCCATCTTTTAATAGATTTTGGTTGCTACTAAAAAAAATCCATTCTGCCTTTTTTACTTGTTTGATGGGGCAAGAGGTCATGTCATCCATTAGGTTTCCATTTCATATTGTCTAGAATTTCACTGATTTATAGGAATGTGATTATTGTGCGATTAAGACATCCATTTCAAGTTGGGAAGCTTACATGGTGCCGCTTCTTTCACTTGTGAAGGATGAAGTAGTTGCTGATATTGAAGCCAGGATTGCTGCATGGACCTTTCTTCCAGAAGGTATATATCTGCTGCATGCTTGTCACTGATATTTTAACTTGTTACCTTCTTCTGGGAAGAGTCTTATCCCATCTTCCTGGAACGTGGTGTTGCAATCAGAGAATGCAGAATCCATTCAGATACTGCGTTATCAGCATGGTCAAAAGTATGAGCCACATTTTGATTTTTTTTACGATAAGGTTTATCATGAGGAGCTAGGTGGTCACCGTGTTGCCACTGTTCTCATGTATTTGTCTGATGTTGAGAGTGGTGGGGAAACATTCTTTCCCTCCTCACAGGTATACCTCAACTGCTTCTGAATCTGATACTCTCTGGTGGTTATGGAATTTTTCTTTCTGGATTCCTCTTTTTACCTATTTTCTCATTGTTGCACTGCCACCTTTTCCTTTATTTGTCACTTATCCTCTTTCTTCTTCAGGCCGGAATCACTCAGGGAAGGCATGGCAGCTGGTCAGAATGTGCTAAAAGAGGCTATGCAGGTATAACCTAAAAGATGTAGTCTCAAAGAAATCATATTTCTACTCATACTTACATCTTCTTTTGAAGTCATGCCGACAACACTTTTCCAAATTCCTATACTATAAGATTGAAATAAGATTTACATATGCTATGAGAATGTGTTCTGGTTAGGCAGCTTTGTGGTCAATTCCGTCTTATTTTTCCTTTTGTTTGCCATGGTCAAGAGGAACTTTGTTAGTTGCAAGGAAACTTGCAATCATTTTCCATTTTTTGTGTTCATTTTCAGAACTTGGTTTCACAAACATACAAAAAATGGAAACAGGGGATTAACATCCACATGAGCATGTGTACACAGGATCTATTGCTCGGGACTGCATCTAGTTTATCAATTTGATTACTGTGGACCACATCTTAAGATTCATGTAATTGCCAGTTGATATAAAGGTTATGGATGTGATCCTTTAGCGCGTTTGATCATTCCCAAATCCTGCCTGAACATAAATGGAATTGGTTCTCTACTTATTTTCCCTGATTAGCCTGATCCTACCTTTCCATTCTCATAGAAATGTTAGTCAAAATCAGGGAGCCCTAATGAAGAACTTTTTTTTTACTGTATATCACTGTTTATCTGCAATATATGATATATCCGTTCTGTCTAGTTCCAGTTCTATGATGTACAACAATACAAGTGAGTCTGCCAGTTCAATAAACTCTGTGGGGGCAATTTTATTGCCATTCACCTGTTACATGATGTTCTTGTCCATGCAATAAATGCATCGAATTTTAATTCTGCCATGTTGTTCTTCTCTATATCTGATAAAATATCATACTGTGTACTTGCAGTAAAACCCAGGAAAGGTGATGCATTGCTATTCTTCAATCTTCACCTTAATGGAACTACAGATGTTTACAGCTTGCATGGGAGTTGCCCTGTGATCAAGGGCGAGAAATGGTCTGCAACCAAGTGGATCCATGCCAGGACCTTTCATAAACCAAAGAGGCACTCGGCAAAGGGTGAGTGTGTTGATAAGAGCGAGAGCTGCCCAATGTGGGCAAAGGCTGGTGAGTGTGAAAAGAACCCTGAATACATGTTGGGTTCTGAAAAATATAATGGATACTGTAGGAAAAGTTGTAAGGTATGCTCGTCTTAGGACATTTTTTCCTCATTAGTTGTGTCTCAAGTGGTCTATATACTTCCATTGTTACGCTTTACCCAGAGAAATGAAAGTCATACTCATTTATATTATATGATTCTCCAGTTCAAGGAAGCTATTCTCACTAATTACTTGGAATAAAGCAAATTAATTAAAGGTTGAATTGCAATTTGTTTTGCTACTAACAAGTTGAGTAGTGTCAGAGAAAGTGTTGCTTACGCTTCTCTCATCGATTTACCACGTTGATTTTATTTGATTTTTTATTTTTTGAAAAAAAGGCACAAAGATACAACAACTGTGAGGATGGGAGATGGAAAACTTAAACTTTCTAGATCCTTATTTAGTTGCTGAATAACTTTGTTAAGAGGATGCATTTCTCATCTCAAAATAAATCAAAATAAACTGATTATTTAGCAAAGCATATGTGTGATAGGAGAGGAAGCATGAATTATATTGTGATGTCATGTCAAAAGGTTTTCCTCTTAAAGAAGATGGAAAAAATCATGCAATATTGGCTGCTAATTGGGAGCCATCTGCATGCTTTTCTTGCCTCCTCAATTGTTAATCCCATTCCTTTCTGGCCTTAAATAATCTTACACACCATAACAATTGCATCACCATTACATAATTTCCTGTCCTCCTCCACCACCGCCGCCTCCTCCTCCTCCTCCTTCTCCTCCAGCCTTGGAATTACCTCTCAAATGGGGAGACCTCCCTGTTGTGACAAATCAAACGTGAAGAAGGGCCTCTGGACTGCAGAGGAAGATGCCAAGATCCTTGCATATGTCTCCAACCATGGAATTGGCAACTGGACTTTGGTCCCAAAGAAAGCAGGTATATATTTTTACCCTTCTTTTTCCATGATTATTTACATGGGGTTTCTTACATTTTTATAATTTGATGAAATATATTGTACAGGACTAAACAGATGTGGGAAGAGCTGCCGGCTTAGGTGGACTAATTATCTGAGGCCTGATCTCAAGCATGACAACTTCACTCCTCAAGAGGAAGAAATCATCATTAACCTTCATGAGCTCATTGGTAGCAGGTAAATTTAGAGCTTTCATCTTCTTATCTTGCTGAAATATAAGGCAAGGAATTTTTTGATATTATAATTTATATATATATATATATATTGAATATACTTTTGCATGCATTTTGTCTGGCTTTCTAGAAGTTCTTGTGTCATAACTAACCAATTCCTTCCAGATTTTTCAGATATGTCTAACAGTTGTTTCTGTTAATGCAAAATTAATGATCTCTCTTCTCTTTCACATATACAAAACTAGTAATTTCACACAAGTTTTATTACATGAAAAAGATGTTTTGCGGGCTAAAAAACCATAGCCATTGAGTGTAAATGTGAGTCTCTTAGATCTGATTCGGGACTACATTCAAAGGCTATGATTGTCTTTTTGATATTAAAACTGCATTCTGTCAAGTATTTTTTATTTCTGTGGATAATTTAAAGCTAAAGCTTTTCAAAATTTCAACTTGCCCTTGCCAATACCTCATTATTGGGAAAATAAGCTTATTTTGCTTAATTACATGATGTAGATGGTCCTTGATTGCTAAACACCTGCCTGGAAGAACGGACAATGATGTCAAGAACTACTGGAACACCAAGCTGAAGAAGAAACTTACCAAGATGGGAATTGACCCTGTAACCCATAAACCCATGTCTCAGGTCATTTCTGATTATGGAAACCTCAGCAGCGGCCTTCCAGTGACCGGAAACCCAGTTGATCCCTTTGGTAAAACCTCGACCAACAACAACACATTGAGCATTTCCAGGTCACAACTTCTGTCTCAATATCAAACCCCCAACCAAGACTACAGTTCGTATAATTTCTTCAATGAAGTTACTTCTTCTTCATCATCATCCCCATCGTCCCCCACTTTTTCCCAGCTGATCTCGCCTCCACCGACCCCCTTCCAACCACCTCCTCAGGCTCAGATTTCCCCTGCCTCTCCTTCCAGCTGGAGTGAGTTCCTCCTCATTGATCCTCCCCCGCCCGCAACAAATCCCAAGCAGCAGCCTGAGTTTCCCGGGACTCTATCGGCTACTAGCTCTTCCACTTTGACACAGAAGGAAACATCCCAGTGCAAGTTCAGTGGCGGAAAGAATGAAGCTTCATATGATTGTGCCGCTTCTTCTTCATCCTCTGCAAGTTCATTTGTGGATGCCATCTTGGATAAGGACAGGGAGATGAGTTCACAGTTTCCTGAACTCTTTTATGGTTCCTTTGATTACTGAGGATTTACGTGCCAAAAACTTGGTTTTGTTTAGATCATATATATATATAATAATAATAATAAAAGATGAACAAAGAAATTAATAATCTTTCTTAATTCTCAATCTCTTCTTTTTGTATGTTTTTTTAAAAATTTATTTATCCATGAAGACCAGATTTTTATTTTTTTATTTTTTACAGTATACAAGAAAAGAAAAAATAAATACAATTTAATATTAGAAATATTAGTTGGACAATATCAATCCCATGATATAAATATAATATCATATTTATTTATTTATGTATTTAAATTTTATTAACTCATTAAATCAAAGACTTTTTTTTTTTTATAAAATCTTAGTATACAATACCTAATAAATTAAGAATAAAAAAGCACTCGTGCTTTTAACCCAGTGACATCAGATCACATATAAGTGCATTCTTCCTTTCTATAAAGAAAGAGTTCAAATTCGGACCTTTATGAATTTGTTAAAAAAAAAAAGAATTAAAAAAAAAACCTTTGACAAAAAAAAGAAAGAAAAAAAATTAAAAACTTTTGGAGTAAAGTATAACTTCACATAAACTTTGGGGGGCTTTTATAGTTTCTCCTAATTTGGTTCGTTGGGCAGTGTTTCCTTATCCCCTAAACCGCCGTTTAAGTTCACTGTTGAAGCATTCAACCGAATGCTCAAGGTCCAACAATGGCGATGTCATCCCTAGCTATTCTTTCTCCCCTGAGCCTCAACATCCACAACAACTACAGAAAATACGATAACAGCTTCTCCTCATTTTCTCGGAATTCTTTTGTCTTCAACACTTGTTCCAGACCCAGCAATCAACGCTTCTCCACCATCATCGTATTTTCCAGTTAAGATCCCAAAATACCCAGTTCTTTTTCTTTTTTATTTTTATCTCTTATCGCTTTGATGGGTATTTCACAGTTTATGGTTTAAGTTAACCAGAGTCTGGAAATGAATTGGCTAGTGAAGACAAGAAAGCTTTGCTGGAGAAATATGGTCTCAATCCCAACGAATACTTAACTGAAACAAAGGTAGATTTTTTCTGCCTCTTTGTATGTTCAGCTGGGATTTCAAGTAATTTATGCATTGTTTAAAATGGGGCTTAATTGGTGAAATATTTGATTTTTAAATTCGGTTTATAGGCTAGTAAGAAAAAGGAATTCCTAAAGAAAGGAAGAGGGAAGGAGATAATGGCAGAGGAGGAAGCTAAGACCCCAAGGACCACTCATAAGTTGCTTCAGGTACCATATGCATTTGCTTTAAATTTTACTTGTTTTTGATTGATTTAAAGAAAAATGGAAAAGAAGGGGAAGTCTTGCAATTTGGATTTATTTAAATAAATATGGGAAAAAGGGGTGGTGGTCAATATACAAAACTGAGACAGGAATCAGGTATTGGTTAACTCAAGTTCTGAGGGACATCATAATATTTCAATGATTTTACCTAACCTGGAACTTCAGATTTTTCTGTCAAAGAAATATGAGAGCAATGATAATGTTGATTATTCTAGGTGCTTGGAGGCACAGCTAAAAGAAAGAAGTTACTCTCCCCCAAAGGCATGGACGTCAGACCAATGATGGAAGTAGTAAAAGGTGCAGCATTTGATATATTGCAGGTAGCAGTTATACCTTAGCTTAAATCCTGTTGATGTGCATAGATAAAAAATTTAAGATTTTTTGTTGGTTTGTCTTTGTTGATTACTGAAAATGGTAGTAATTGGATTTTGGAATTTGTGTTTCTTTGAGCCACTTTTCTTGTGGAATGATTTGTTGTAGCTTTTATCAGGCAGCTGGTGGTTGTCCTGCCTCATTACGTCCTGGTCGTTGGTTAGACTTGTACAGTGGTACAGGATCTGTTGGTATTGAAGCCATCAGCCGAGGATGCTCTGAGGTACATTATAACTTATTGGACTGTGGCATTACCTTCCTTTAACCAATAATTGATTTCTAGTTAACCAAAGTTTGAACAAGTGTTCTAGCATTAAGTTGGGGTTTTGGTTTGATACTAGAAGTTGCAAGAATTATGAAAAGTTATGAAATGTTGATTCCCTGATATTTATCTAATTCAATTTTTCATCTGACAGGCACATTTTGTTGAGATGGATCCTTGGGTTGTTTCAGATGTTCTGCGACCAAATCTGGAATGGACTGGATTTCTTGATGTTTCGGTTATACACACAGTCCGTGTTGAAAAATTCTTACAACAGGTGGACAATAGACCATTTGATTTCATAAGTGTTACACCTCCATATACAGAAGTTGACTATGGCATACTAATGGGTCAAATTTCTAAGTCAGTTGTAGTTGGGGAAGACACCTTTATTGTGAGTAAGATTTTTTTGTTTATTTTAAAAATGGATTTTAAAAATATGTCCATTTCCTTCTTGTTCTCACTGTTTTGATATTATTCTTATCTAGGTTGTGGAGTATCCTTTGAGAACAAACGTCCTGGATTCCTGTGGATGTCTTGTAAAGGTACAGCTCTCATTCTGTTCCTTTGTTCATTAAATTTTCTATTAAGAAAAGACAGTTAATGACAATCATATTTGGATATTTAAACAATATGATGAAATCTTTGTGATGGACGTTTAAGATTCTGCCCACATCATAAGCTGCTGTTTAGGAGCTATAAGCATTTCATATGTTGAAGTGGCTACATGCATATTGCCTGTGTACTTTCTTCAACTGTGTGTTTCATTTATAATCTTTTATCCCCTGATAGAATTGGGTTGTGTGCTACCATTTATCTATCTAACTAGTGATGTGGGCTTTAAGTTTGGGTGGCCCAAAACAAATATTTTTATATATTTCAGTACCAGGATACACATATTGTGTTTCAATTGCTAATATGGTTGCAGATAACTGATCGACGGTTTGGTCGGACTCAATTAGCAATCTATGGACCCAAGTGGGCAGAGAAGAGGAGAAAATCGTAAAATACTCTTCAAATCTAAAGTTAATGTAAGCCCACAAGTTGAAATAGGAAACAATAATCTGTGTTTTATTTTTGTGATGGTTTCTATTATATTTCTCCAAATTTCTATATAGATGTTCATTCAATCCTGTCAAGCTTCACATCATATGACTCCAGCTCTGCTGAACTTTTATCGTAATTTGCTACATTTGTAGTCACAGTTTGTGCAAATACAGTTAATTTGATTTTTATATGTAACTTGTTTTGTCATTTTTGTATAGAAAGATAATTTTGCTTTATGTTGCTGGTCAACATTCCATCTGTATTCTTATGTTTCCTTACTGCCTAAAGATGAATGAATGATCAATTCCCATTTCCTAACAATGTGGGCTACTTATGCTTCTAGTTACAAGTTCTTGAGTTTGACAATATTAATCATATTACTTAATGCTAGTGTGTCACTGACCTCCCTTGTAATTGGAACTTCCAGACAGCACAACATGCATTTTTTGTATTCTTGACACAATACATGTAGTTTGCAGATGGTATCTCTCAATTGTCCTTTTCTAACTGCAATACTTTTTCATATATTTCTATCTGGCTGTCTAATATTAATCTAAAATTATTGTATATACACATCCATAGCTGGTGGCCCAGTGATCCTTATATGGTTCCTATTGTGGTGGCACCATGGTGCTTTATTGGAGTTTTTCATTTGAAAGCAGGTCTAAAGCATCATAACTAACTCTACGTACTTTTTTAATGCTTAGGAGCTTGGCTAAAGCAGAAATTTTGAAGTTAGAATCTGTTGCTTTCTCCAACATAAAATCAAGACTGGGGCCTGCAAAGCATACCATATACCTTTCTCATATCATATTGGAATTATTAGAAGCTAGAGTATGCAAAAGCATGAATCCCATAAAGAGAAGGGATTTTTTTATTTAACAGGGCAAGGTGGGCCTGTTCAATTGATACTTTGAGTTTTATAGGAGGAAGCTGGTCTCTTCCCTTTTTCTTTTTCCAGTTCTTTCTTTGTCTTTTGTGAAAGGAGTGGATTATGGGCTAATGGGACCTGACCTGACAAAACTGTGTACATTAACAAATTTTCTTTTATGCTTAAGGAAAGGAATACTGGATGGCATTGGTCTAATGTTTAGTAGTACTGATTTATTGATATTTACACCTGTATAATGCACAAATATCATTGTTTTGCTATACTTGAATCAATTTGATGAATTTGAAGTGATATGTTTATAATTGAATCACAGTCACATGTTCACATGTTCTCTTGTTTCTTTTTCTGTTTAATCCCTTTTGGAGATTCAAAGATAAAATTGATCTCAATGCTTAGGAAGCATGTAAATGATTTTATTAGTTAAAATTCTCTGCTGGGGCCTGCTCTACTGGTGAAGCCAATGATTAGAAAAACTGTCTTCTGCAGTGATTTTTCTTTTTCTCAAATTATGGAAGGAGTTACCCCAGAAACATCCTTGTACTAAACTTTGGGGGGGGGGGGCTCATGTTGTTTGAACCTGTTTATTTAATAATTCATCTGTAGCTTCCAAATGACAGGACTATATGCTTTCCCCTTGGTTAAAGTTATGGAAATGGAATAACCTTTTGGAATCAGATCCCTGAAGCAGATATGCTGTTTTAGACATATTATTATAACACAAAATATTTCTGTTGGCATTACTTTGATGTTTGTAATCAATATTTGATTGAGACAACAGTGCAAATTCATGATGTTGTTTTCCTTTGATTGTCATAACATCCTCAAGTTCAGTTTTGCTGATTCTGGCATGTGAATCTTCTTGTTCTTTAAAATTTTCCCGTGTTACAGGTTTATTGCATAAGAATGCATCTTCTTCTCAGCATGAATAACAATGTTTTCTCATGGTGAAGATATTTATGTTAAGTGTTCCATGATGTTTGCTTACAACTAGTGCCCTTTTGTGACAATCTAGGAGACAGTAACACCTTATGGTCCAGTTTTAAGATTCTTGAAGAGACTGAATGAAGCAAGATAAACCTACCCTTGGTTTTAGTTGCTAGTTGCTGTTCAAGCCTTTACTTTTCCCACTTTCTTTCACTCTTGTTTATTCAGTGGAACTGTTGAAACCTTGTTGACGGTTACAACATTATTTAAGGGTAATGTTGCATGGTGATGGTTGTAGTTAAACTATATTATTTTGGATTACATGCCTTTCTGTCTGCCATACTTAAATAAAAACTGGCAGATGAAATACTTGCTGAGTAAGAAAACCAAACCACCAGCCAAAGCAGTGATCTGGTTTTCTTTCGCTTTCAAATTTCCCTTTATAAGTGGTGATTGATGGGATCTCTGCGTTTTTCTGCGTGACAGAAGCAACCCTTTGAATATATCTTTGTATATGCACTTCTTTAGTTAGATGTTTCTTTTCTTTTATGTATATTGGACAGTAGTTTGCTTATTTCTGATTGAAGGGTTAAGAGAATGCTTTAGGTTAGGCACAACATAATTAAGATTTTGCTATTTCAGGCACAAGGCCCCATGCTTTTTGTGCAAGCTTAGAAGTTAGAACACATTAGATTAGACTTAAGGAAAATAGTGAGGTCCCCCTATGTCCTAATGAAAGCAAAGACGGGAGCTGATTTGGGTCCATTGAAAATTGAATATATAAAGCAGCAAGGCCAACAAACTTTTCTGTTTTATAGGTTATGTTGCTCCTTCTCTCCCACAACTGTTTTTGTTTCATTCACCCATCTTTAAATAGGATCCTTCACACCCTACCCGCCAAGTTGGAATACTCCCATAAGATTTGCTCTGCCCTGCCTTCTCTCCTCCCTTCTTTCCTCCCTTCCCATCTCAGATTGTTTTCTTCTACCTTACTTCTCCACATGCATTTTCCTCATCTCAAAAGCCAACATGTTAGTTCTCAGTCATCTGTTGTTTTCCCTTTTGTACGGCCAGCCATTCTTTGGTGAAAATTTGTAGGAGAAACGAAGCAGAAAAAACATGGGGATTGGTAGTAGGACTTTGAGGGCTCTGTTTGGAGTTTGTTTGTTTGTGGGGTTTATTTGGTTTTTGTTTGCTGACATCATAGGAAACCATGTGACTACAACAAAGACAGCGAAAATGGTGTCCACAACTAGGAATTTCAAGCACTGGAAGTTTGTTGCAGAAGAGAGGCATCCTTTTCATCAGGATTTCAATCTCAATTATGTGAGCAAGAGAAGAGTACCCAATGGACCTGATCCCATCCATAACAGGTACATGTTTTTTTGGTCTGTGTCTGCATCATTTCATTTTGCCTTGATCTGTCAAACTGGAGAGAAAGTGGAGCTGCAATGACTTGAATATAAAAGTAAAAGAAATTGATCATTGATGCCTTAGATTAGATCCTTAGATTAGATACTTGTCCTAGTGAAGTTTTGATATATGATTTTACAGATACAGATACATGTTATTTCTTGCAGAAACAATGATGGAAGAAAGATGTTGTCATTTTGTTTGGTTGTTATTTTATGATGGGTTGAGGGTAGGGGAGGGAGATGTGATTAGTTCATATATTTGAGATGCATAGAAGCTGATGACAGTGTCTTTCTTTACAAAAGCCTCTTTAAGTAACAATCTTTCTCTTATTTTTATAAGGACCAAATAAAGACATTGGGGGAAGTACTGAGTCACTTTTAACTACTCATCTTTCTTTTCTAATGGAATTCAAACAAAACACACTACTCTTTTTACATAAAAACTTGTTTATTGTAATATCAGGAGAGCAGAGAAGTCCAGACGACCGCCAGGACGAGCTTGATCTGAAGTTGAAGAAAACTCAAGTTTTGCACGTCTCCTAGAAGACCCTCGTGCAAAAATGCCATTAAAATTTCTGTGCTTCTTTGACTCCTTGATAGTTTTTTGATTTACATGATGATTCAACCAGCAGTTCGTTATAACAAGATGGTTTAACTAGGGTTTTTTGAGTACATATATAAGCTTTGTGGTTTCAAGTTTCTCAGATTTCTTGTTCATCAAGTTTTGAAGGTGACAGACAGAAGAATTGAAGGACATTCAAGAATCAAGAATATGAGAAAGATTGAAACTTTTAGAGGTGTCCCACTAGTATTTCCTTGGTTGAGTTCTTTTGGAGAAGAATGATGGCTAGGGTTTTGGCTTCGCATGACAAAACAAGGACCAAGGAAATGTTGGTTAGGGGGTTCGGGGCAAATTCCAATGATCCCTAGGCATTGTAACATGTACTATTACTCTGTACCATTACTCAGCTTATCTTTTTCTTGGTTATCTATTGGAATGGATTCCTTCTTTCTCCTTTGATGTTGCCTTGTGTTCCCCATGCCTACACAAAGCAATACCCATTAACCAAAGTTGTTCAATTCTCAAAACATTTTATTTCCTTGAATGGTGCATTAAGATTTTGAATTTCATTTTAGGTGCAATATTTCAAGGATAACAACAAGCAGACAGCCTATTTGTACGACTTAAACAAAGGATCTCTACTTTCATCTTTCTTTGCTTTTACTATGGCCAAGGCCTATACGCATCACAAAATGAAAAAAATATAAAACAGTGTGATTATTTTATGGTATCTCTCCAAAGTGAAAAGCAAAGCAAGGAGCTTTCTCTGCACATTTGCTTTTCCTTTTTTTTCTCTTTTACTTTTTTCTTCCTTGGGCTTCTTTTCCTAGTTTGATTTTGAATGGTTTGGAAAGCAAAGACTCGGTCCAAAGTAAACTAAATTCAAATTTAGAGACCTTTCCATTGCATTTGGGAGACAGATTCCCATCTCGTGCAGCTCTTCTGATAGAAAACATGGTACATACATCCTATCTTCTTCATCTTGACACTAAAAACATAAAGAATTGCACCGAGCTAACCATACTATCTTCAACAATCATCATGACAAATATTTAACTAGCACTCTTTAACCCAGCGTCACCAATAGGAGCTGTTGCCCTTTGACACATGAATTTTAGAAGAGTTCAGAAACATTGACCCCCCACGAGAATGATGATCATTGAGGGCAAGAATCTTTCCAGTTCAGAATTTGGTAGAGCGCTTCTTTCATGGTAACGTGCCGTAATACTTAAACTTCTGATAGGAAGTTATAATTCTTCATAATGCTCTTTATATCTTTCATTACCTTATCAGTACTACAGATGCAAAGTAAACATTAGTGAATACCATCCAGCAGACAAAGTATGGATTACATGGTAAAGAAAGAAACATACAAAAAGAAGCAAATAAACTTCTCATATGAGCAAGAATCTGGAAGGGAAAAAAGGAAAAATCAAAACTGGTGAATTGGAATTACCAGCAGAATAGCATAGACGATGCAGAATGACAGAAACAATTAAGAGGATGAAACAGTTCTGAGAATTCTCATTTTGCTGTCATCAGCAATTGTTGCTATAATTAAAGAGAATACTAGATGGAAATAAAATCAGCAGCACAAAGCCATTATGATACTTTGTTAAACTGTTAGTACTTAATTAATCCCTGTAATAGGCAAAGCATCAAACAAAAATCTCAGATACAACTGTATCAACATTTATATGCTCAGAGATGAACGATGGTTAAGAAATTTCAGTTAGTCATTTTAATCCAGTAAATGCATTATCTTATCCGTTCTAGAATTCTAAAACCCTAATTTTGATGTTAATTGTTGTGTTTGTGTGGATTGATATAGAATATATTGGACTAAAAACAATGGAACATGCTAGGAATTCTAACATTTGAGCATTGATCAGTTGCAATTCAATGTCAATTGTCAAACACAGGGTGAAGCCGTGAAGGAACAGATTTCTTGATTCAGGAACCTACAGATTGTAACAAGCTTATTGTATAATACAAACATGAATAACAAGTAACGAAAGACAGCTAGAGAATGGAAATCCACACACCATATACATCAACAAGATGATTGGGATCAATTAATTCTTTAAGGAAATGTTACCCTTTTGCCAGCTTCTCCCCTTTTTTTTTTAGCTCGGAAAGCTTACTAGGATTCATTACCCTCTGTCGCGAAAATCAGTGGGAATTCATCCAATTCTTCAGAATAAGCATGTTCACCAGCTAGGTTTCTCAATGACTGGTAAACCTGGAACACAGACCATCTGTCTTTTGGCCGGGTTACAACACAATTCATTGCAATTTTGAGGAACTGCAAAATATCTTCATCGTGCCCCTTCCCGGAAATGGCCTTGTCAATTGCATCCTTGATTCTACCGGAATTAGAAAGATGATTCACCCAATCCACTAAATTACCCTTGAATCCGTCTTCAGAAGTTTCAACTTCTAAAGGCTTTTGCCCTGTTACCAACTCCAAAAGCACCACCCCTAATCCATATCCATCTCCTTTGAGTGATGGGACCATAGTGCTTGAGTACTCTGGAGCTATGTACCCAAATTCACCCAATTCTCCATTCACATAACTACTCTCATCTGAGGAAGCCATGAGTCTGGCCAATCCAACATCCATTATCCTAGCATCAAAATCCTCATCGATGAGAATCAGCTTGGAGCAGATGTTCTGGTGGATGAGAGGCGGCTGGTTGCCGTGGTGCAGCCAAGCTACACCCCTGGCTGCCCCAAGACCAATGGAAAACCTAGTTGGCCAATCCAATATCTCACCCCTTCTATGTAGAACGGAATACAGAGTCCCATTACACATGTTCTTATAAACCAGGAGTTTTTCATCCTCCACAAGACAAAACCCTAAAAGAGGTGCCAAATTGGGGTGCCGGAGCTGCCCCAATCGATTCATCTCCAACCGGAACTGCTTCTCCCCGAGCATGCAACTATTCAGCCTCTTAATTGCCAGCGACGACCCATCAGGAAGCATCGCCTTGTAGGTCGTCCCTGTTCTCGTTGAGAGTAGGATGTTCTCTGCATGGAAATTGTTGGTCGCCGCTAATAAATCCGCCAATTTTACTTTGACAAGCGGTTTCTGAAATAAGGAAACTTGGGTGAGCTTGTGAGCCCTCAACCTTTCTACCCAGCTGCCATCATCGCCTCTCCCAATCACATACCCTCCTCGCCGCCGCTTCATCTGCCGCAGATGGTAAAACCACCAAACCCCGAAAGCCAACAACAACGACGCTGCCGCACCAAACACCCCAGCCGCGATTATAATCGCCAGACTCTTTTTGCTCAACCTACCGCACTTCCCAAGCGGCCCGCCGCAGAGCCCATCGTTCCCTTCAAAATCCGCCTTATCATAACTATTTAAAAACGGTGGAACAGGCCCCCTCAGCTTGTTATCGGCCACCGAAAACGCCTTCAACCTTCCCAAACTGGACAGTTGGTACGGAATCGTCCCGGAAAGACTATTATTTGACAAAATCAACTTATTCAAGTAAGCACAGTTTGCCAGATCGGGAGGGATCTCACCCGACAGATCATTGTTGGACAGGTCCAGGCTTACTACATAAGGCAGCCAGGAACATATACCCGTCGGGATCGTACCGGATAGGTTGTTCGTCGAGAGATCCAAGTTCTGCAAACTCCCACAGTACTCTAAGGAGTTGGGAACCTGTCCCGACAGCTCCATATCCCGTAGTTCAAGGGTGTACACCCGATTCTCCCGGTCGTTCCAGCAAGTTACTCCGACGAACTGGCAAATAAATCCGACCGAGGAGTTGGAGAAATTCCATGAGCTCAGCTTCCCTTCTGGGTCGCCGCCATCCTTCGTAAGCGAGTCCTTGACTCCTCTCAGACACTTGATATCATCCTCGACAACTTTTGAACGGAC